GTCCAAGTGGGCCCCACCAGAGGTTGCAAGAACCTGGACGGCATGCACCTGGTCTTTTTGGGTCACACCAAAGTGGTCAAAGTGGGCCCCACCAGCGTTGTCACAGTGGGCCTCAATACTGGTCAAAGTGCCGCAAAGTAGTGGTCAAGGTGGGCTTTGCAATAGCCACACAGCCTTGCTCCACCACTCCATGAATCAATGGGCAGATACAGTCTATGTGCATTGGCTGCCACATTTTAATACTGATCCATGTAGAAGCAAACACCATTCTGGCCTTGCTGTGTGCAGCAGCTAGTTGCAGTCACCTCTTGAACATCATTCATTGTTTTCCGCCCGCTGCTCCTCTCAAGATAACAAACTGTCCTGCGATCACTGGCCGGAACAGAAAAAAAAAAGTCGATTCAACTGCGGCTCGATAATCCGCTGTGCTCCTTATTATAAAATTTCATAATATTCTTAACCACCAAACAGAAGAAAGAACGACGAAGTTTACCCCGCAAGGTGTCCAGGGCAGTACCATGAAAAAATCAGGCTAGCAGCAGATCACTAGCCCTTCACAACGAAGTGCGGCCCCAGCATCTCAACCGCACAATTAACCAGTATGGCTTTTCCAGTCAATCATGCCAGTTGCTACTTTGCTGCATAATACGTTAACCGTCCGTAAACGCATCTAGGTCACTAGTTAGCTGCAGAGAAATTGCACCCAACTCAACTCAACTGCTGCAGCTCTGTCACAGAGTATCCAATCTGACGACAATGCTGCACAGCAGGGACCGTAAGCCAGCCACATGGATTAACCACGGGTAAAGCGCTTCTTAGCTGCCGACACCTTCACTGCTAGTGAACGCTGCTATGCTCACATCTCGTTCTCACCACGTAGCTAAAGAGTTCCACCAACTCACTCACCTAACCTACTACAACTCTGCCACAGAGTTTCTTTCCTAGCCAACGACGCTGCACAGTAGGGACAGCAAGCGAGCCACGCGGATTAACCATGGGTTAACCACCTCTTTGCCACACCTTAACTGCTAGTGACCGGTGCTATGCTCACATCGGGGTCACTACGTAGGTGCAGAGCTGCACCCAACTCACTCAGGGCGTACTCACACTAGCGCTATCTGAAATGTATCTCCCTCCAGCCAAAACTGTATGCATCTGGCCACAATTCCGTCCAGAAATAAGTAAAAAAGTGCCAGTGTGAGTATGCCCTCACCTATCACAACCCTGCCACACCCGATTGTAGTACGATGGATCAGCCACAGCTGACGGCAACAGTGAGCAAGCCAATGGACCCCTAACCCACACTTTTACGACCGGTCCGTCAGCTGTGGCTGATCCATCGTCAGACCTTCAACAACAGCTGACAGGCCCCACCCACCACCCCGCCCGACACACGCATAAGACCACAGAAAAAAGGAATATGAAGCTGCACTCCCTCAAATTCGAATCATTCTGTCGCAAGAAACAAACGTATACAAAACCGCCCTTCCTTCTGAAAAGCTTATTCCATGTCATTCAGTATACGTCTAGGCCCCTCTAGGTCCCTCTAGGCCCCTCCGAGTCTCAGAAAAGCCACGACCTATTCTTACCCTACCCCTACGCCATGCTACTGCAGCTAGACAAACCCTATCAAGTGACCCTACAGTCACAGATGTAGCGCGCACACCACAGCGAAGGCTTGTCCAGCTTCGCTTGTACCCACTCCCTTTCTTGTATCTGTGACATGAAGCCTACTTCCTAGCAAGCGCAGGGGGTATCAGTGACCTCACCACCAGCCAGCTGACAAGAGCACAAACTCAGCTGCAGCCCAACCGTGTTTCCCCTGTTCCATTGCTCCTAAGCTTTATTACAGGTTCTCTCTCACAGAGCGTACTCACACGAAGACTTTCTTGCGCGTATCTGACCTCTTCTTTCACAGACAGACCTGTATGCACCTGATTGCAATTACGTCCACAGAGAAATAAAAACGTGTGCTCTGAGAGGATGCCCTACACCGAGCCGACTGACATGCCTTGGATCTCACAAAACTCCAGGCGCCCCTACCTTGCCAAAATAGATTTAGCAGCTCCTCACGATAACTCCTTGTCTCCTTCCACCACTCACCAAATTTGCAAAATGCGAATGAATGAATCCTTCGCTAGAACACGGAAAGATAGGCCGCCATCATTTTCCTCTTTTGTGCATCGGGAGAGTGGCCGAGCGAGACCCTCCTTTCTTGTCCTCCTCACTTTGGCCGACTTTCATGGGGTTGGTTCATAAGCAGAGCATCTGGTCATCCAGGCATGTGCCCTCTCGGACACCCCATCTGGGCATCTCGGCCTGTGCGCAAACTTCCGAGCTTCGCTGTGCTGTGCTCGACTTGAACAGGAGAGGAGGAAGGCGTGGAGAACGGCAAAGGGATAGCGATCTGAAACTACCTAAGGATAGAGCAATGGTCCCATTGCGTTTGGCAATTTGCGAAAATGATCATAAATATATCAATCGTTAAGGGGGGAACTTGAAAGAAAATGTTTGTTGCTGCCCACTGATGACGCCTCCAAATACGCTGCTCACTTAAAATTGGTCCCGACGACTTTTGCCCGAGCTCTCAAATAACCTTTTCTAAGGACTAGTAGACCCTGGATGATTACTCTCCTCGTTTCAAAGAGCGGGAAGTTGGAAACGTAAAAAAAAAAGATAAAAACTATTAAAAAGTTAAAGAACCTAGCACAGGCAACACTACTAATATTCCCCATAGGAATGCACCTGAAAATTTCACTGCCTCGCAATGGAAAGTTCGTTGAAAATTACTCTCCTCATGTCAACAAAGTCTCCATTACAACACATTTGGGAGAAAGAAAAAGGAAAATCACAAGCTGGTTGAAGCCACAACAGTGACAGCACCCATCCATCGCGTAGCGGGCATCGCATTTCACCCTTCTCTCTTCTCTTCCACTCCTGCCTCTCTCTGCAATTATATATACACCGAGCTGAAACTAATCCGAACCTCGTGTCATAAATGTCTTGAAAGTTGAAACAGGATCTCGCAATAAGTCTACCCGGAAAACAAAACAGAACAAAAAAGAAACATAAGAACCTCCCTCATCATGCTGCCTCTCTCTCTCTCTCTCTCTCTCTCGCCCCCCGCCCGCCCCCCCCCGGGCTGTTGCCTTCTTTTGTGAAAAGAAATGTTCATGCTTCTGCTTTTCCACCTGTCCATCTGGCTCTCTTCAATCCAGTTGCAGCTCTGGAACCTGGGAAGGAAACACTCCAACCAATATGTGTGGATCATCTGGCATTGATCTTTGCACACTGTAGATCTCAGGCACACCTCGCAGAATCGAGCATCACAGATAATCCGACGAGCGGTGAACTTTAAATCAACCAGCAGTATGAAGAAGCCTCGTGGGTCCTTGTCCTCCACCTGCATCCGGCCTAAGCAGTGCACCTGCCGCTACTGAGCTCAACAATTCGCCAACATGCAACGTAGTCCTGCGGCATAATGCCAGACAGTGCCGGGTTTCCGCTTGTCCATCTGAACGCCAAGGGAAATGTCTCTAGCCTCTCTCTCTCTCTCTCTCTCTCTCTCTCTCTCTCTCTCTCTCTCTCTCTCTCTCTCCAGAATGGAACTTGTGCAGGATCCCATTGCAGAGACACACAACAAGAGATGTGTTGGCACATATGCCTCCGGTGGCCCTGCACACATTAGTGGAAATCTGTGGGATAGTTTGGCACATGTTGAGGGTACTTTAACTTCCATCCTCCTGCTTCTCGAGGATGTTGCCATATGGCTTCTTGAGGTTCATGACAGTTCCTACAAGCGGCCACAGGGCTTTTGCCATCACTAGAGATCGATAGCTGAGTCTCTGCAGAAGGTGTACCTTTCCCCTCGCTCTGCTACTCTCTCTCTCTCTCTCTCTCTCTCTCTCTCTCTCTCTCTCTCTCTCTCTCTCTCTCTCTCTCCCCTTGCCTAATGAGGCCATATGGAAAGGCATCCCTCCAACCTTCACACCCAACACTGTACAAAAGAAAAGATGCAAACAAAAGAGCAAAATAAACAAGACATGCGACTATGCTGGGTTTTCCCCGCGCGCCACGGTCCGAACCAAACTACGTAGGCACAGACAGGCAGGTATATCTGCGTGTCTACGTCCAACAAAGAGCTGACTGTTTCACAGTACGTTGAATGATTCCACACAATAGATGCCCTGGTTTCCCAGTTATTTGATCTGCCAACGTCAGGAGGTTGAGCTCCAGATTTGGGAAAACGTGGATGAGTGAATATACAAATGGGAAATGCCACATTCAGCTTTCGCAACACCCTCTCATGACATACGCAATTGTCCCTGGAAGCAGTCTAAACCCTAATCTCAACGCCGTCATGTTCAGCTACACCGAAAAATAACCACGACTACTGACTGATGCGTCCCTTACACGACAATAACCTACCGGTCTTTCCGCATCGCAGTCGCCCCTGTCAGTATCTCACAGAGTGAACCCTCGGCCTGCTAACAGTCCCTACGGACACCTCAGAGAAAACAGCACAATTTCGCAATCTTGGTCATGGTTTTCCTCCTCCTTTTTCTCTCCGCCAGGTCCTTCTCCGAAGGGCCCAGAACATCCAGTCTGCGCCCCTTTTTGTCCTTCTTCCGCCTCTCGGGGACACCAAGTCTGCTATCGACCGACATGTCGGTGCCATGTCTGCTCTCGATTGACATGTCAAGATCACTCATCTGGTCTTGTGACAGAAACATCAGATCAGAATGCCCCGACAGTACTCTCCTCCCACTTTCACTGGAGGCATGCACAGTCGAAGCCGAGATCGCAGGCAGAGCTTTGCTCCACAAGCTGTGTGGCAATCCATGCCCGTGGCCGATCAGTCCCAAGACACCACAGCGACGATTCTGTGTGGAAGTCCGGCCTCTACTTGGTTGATTGGGCCCAAGTTCAACCAGACCATCCATTTGTGACGGTGAATGTGTAGCACCCTCACGAGATGACGGTCGACCCTTTCCACCCAACTTCGTTTCCTCACCACGTACTGACGGCAGAGCCTTCACATTCTCTGTGCCTGCCATCTGGCCTTCCACACTGCCGTCACCGATCGATCCTAACGGACTGAACTGAAGCTTCCCATTCGATGTATGATCTCTGATCGGTGTGTTTGACCCAAGTGAAACGAGACCTTCCAATTGTAGTAATGCTGGATTTACCGCGGGAATTCCTGATGATGCTCTGTCGTTTCCAGCCAGCTTAGTTACCTCTTCGAGCAACACAGGAAGGCATTCCATGGAGGAAAACTTTTTTGCAGTTCTCATGGTTTCTGCGCGTGCTGTCTGCCCACCCACATGACTCGCACTGATCGACCCTAACACACCAAAACGCTGAGTTCCAGAGAATGTATAGTCTCTGCTTGGCGTGTTTGCCCCAAGTGAAACCAGACCTTCCAATCCTAATGCTGGACCTGTGGGAGGATTACCTGATGCCGCTCTTTCCTTTCCACCCAACTCAGAAGTTTCCTCCTCAAGCAACACAGGGAGGGATTCCATTGCTGGGATGCGTTTTCCCATCTTCCTCGGCTGCACTGCACTAGCCTGTCCGTTTGCCGGCAACGCGCCAGAGGTGTTGTCCTCCCGCTTTTGCTGCCACGTGTGCTCCTCCTCCTCCTGCCCATCCTCCCCGCTCCCAACTCTGCCACCCGCCGAGTCCTGACGATGAATTGCACACAGTGGCCAACCCATTCTCCCCCTTTCAGGGGGAGAATCAGTTATCGACGGCTCACAGGACTTTTCGGGCGCCCCTTCTCTTCCGCATCTTCCCTCAAATGAATCGGCAGCCCCCCCCGTTGTATTATCTGAAGGGGGAACGGTGGCAGGTGCTGCCTGTCTGGCATTGTCGCCAGCCACCATCCTCTCACTCTGTGCATTGCTCAAGGGCGGATCTGCTGGGCCATCCTCAGCGACCGTAGCACCTAAGAGTTTGGCAAATGCATGCTCCACTTGTGACCTTGGTGCCTTTGAATAGATTGATACGGAGGCATCGCCATTGCAACGATTGATTATGTCTGCTGCCCTGTTCTGAGCCCCGTCACCAATCTCGTCAGCAGGTAACATTGCCTGGCTTATCCTTTCCATCGCAACACCTACCTCCAGCAGACCTGCCTTTCCGTCATCGCCTCTCAGATCTGCAACTTTCTGTTTGCTCTCCGACAAGTCCATGCTGTCAGTCTGCACTATACGGTCGCAGGTTCCTACTGCTAGGGACTCGCTCGCTGCCTGCTGCTTCATCCTTCGGAATGTGGAATATACATTTGGCCGCACTCTGCGGCTACGCACACTGTGAGGTCCCGGCTTCTGCGGTTGAATTGCAACCTTTGCAGCGACAGGGGATGGCGGCGGAGAGGACAACACTGTTTTGCCAGGACTATCCACATCATGGAACTCCTCTTCCTCGTCGATTGTCATTTCCTTTGCCAAACGGAAAGGCCGAGAGTTGCGTGAGTTCATGGAAACAGCTAGTTGATACTGTTCATCAGAATTGACTGAACACGAACTGGTGGTCATCTGTTCCCTGCCGCCTTCGTCAGAATCGGATGATGGCCCATTTCCGCAGCTTTCCCTCGAACTCTTCTGCACAGCCTCGGGCCCATTTCCGCAGCTTTCCCTCATACTCTTCTGCACAGGCTCTTCTTCTGTTTCCCCTGAGCTTGATGAGACCACGTCTTTCTTCGCGGATCGCCACGGAAGCCATCCCGTCAGCCGTTGATCTGGGCTTTTACGATCTGCCCTAGAACCTAGGTGGGCAGCGGTGGCTGTGGGGGTCTGCAATGCTGACGTACCGTTCCCCACCTCAGCTTGGCTGCAAGCGCTTCCACCGCGACAAGCATCGACAGAAGAATCACACTCGTCATTTGATGAGTCGTCGGTATCGCTGATACTGTACATTGGGGTATTCAAAATAGATCTGAGTGAAAGAAACGAGTCGCTCTTTTCCAATTTGGAGGATCCTGGATATTGACACTGACTTCCAAACATTGAGACCCTTCTTTCAAGAGGTGCAGTAGCCATCGGTGTAACATCTTCACTTTTCTCTCCTATGGCAACACCTCCACGGCCCTCCTCCTGCTCCTCATCCTCCTCTGAGCATGTCTGCACATCCTTGCTGTTCACTGATTCCTCAAAGGAGTCCACGGGAGCGGCAAAATTTCGCTGTCCTTTCCCGCCGGTTGCATGCCCATCTGCTGCCTTCCCATCTTGACAGCAGTCTGCACCCACAGCATCCGCCGAGTCCATCAATGTTGATGAGGAGAGGATTTGCCTCCTCAGCCTTCCACCACTGTCTTTTCCAGGCGTGAATCCCGGGGCACCTGTTCTGTGCATGCTGGACATGGACATGGAATCATCGTGAAAGCCGGAGAGGCTATGTTGTTGGCTCCGACCAGATTCTACGGTTGAATCGCGTGCACTGGGCGTCCTGCTGGAATCCGCTCCCGAGTCTCCAACGCCAGGGCTCTCAAAAGGTCTCCAACCCACTGCAGTAGCGATGAACTGAGGAGGACCTCTCGTTCTACGACTTCCTTCTGACTGTGGTGCCCCTGATTCATCTCCAACACTTGCGACCATCTCCTGATCGCTGTCAGTCCAGCTAACGTGACTGTTCCCACCAGAGGGCGGCATTTGGTAGTTCGGCTCAGAGCCAGATAATTGCTCGCTTGGGGTGTCAGCGACAGGAAAGGAGGTGGGAGGAGTAGTGATTGCCACATTCTCAAAGTGCAAGGACCTTTGAAGGAAATCAGCTGTCGACGATCGTTCAGAAGAACCCGTGCATGACACCGTTCCAGACGTGGCGTGTTTAGGATTAACGCTGCCACCCCAAGGGTGTTGACTTTGCTGAGCATGAGAGGGAGCAAGATGACCAGGGAGGTTCTCGGTTGTTCCCCTGTCAAGTTCAATTTCACCCCCAAAAGACCTCCTCCATGGGAAGGTAGCTTGCCAACTTCTCCCCAGCGCTTCCTGTGTCATGGGCCCGGACAACAGGGGTGATCGTTTACCATTGGATACTTCATCGAGGATTCCACCAATCATGCTCCAGCTTCTAGAATGTCTTGCCCTTCGAGGAGAGCGATGATTTACTGGCTTCGGGGTCGTTCGTTGGGCAGTGGCCGCTGGTGGAGTGGTTGCTGAAAACCCTTCTGAAACCTGTCGAACAGACACCATGTCCACAGCTGCCTCTCCAAGATGATCTTCTTGTTCTCCGTCTGTCGATCCAACCGCTTCTCCGTTTGCGTCACAACTACGTGCATCAGCTTCGGCAACACCCTCTTGACCGAAAGTCATCACAGGGGCATCATTCACAGGTGGGGCCAAAGTAGAGGAGGTTTGCATCTGCTGCTGCAAATGCGGCACAACAGACGATTCAACCGACAGAGCTTTTTCGTCAGTGCCACCCCCTCTAGCATCAACATCCATTGCGGGAGATGCTGCATGTGTGGTGTCGCTACTTTGTGCAGTTGGCCACTGATTAGTCTGAAGCCTTGGCGAATCGCTGGGTGTCGCATCCGGCGTGACACATGCTGCGGCCTGAGAAGAGGGGTTGGGAGAAAGCAGCGGAGCCCCCTTCGTGGCTGTTGTTCTGTTCGCAACGGGAGCAGAGCGTAGTGAGGCAGACAGCTTACTGTTAATGCCAACCGTGGAAGCGACGTTGTCACGAGTACACCGCACACGAGTTGTGATATCCGCTGACATCTGCCCATTTCTGGCAGCAGTTTTCACCTTTGTCACCCCTGCAACGAAGGGGTCCGCAGAAAGTCGTAGAGCCCTTCGTGTTCCATCGCTTCCAGACAGCTTTAGCCCGCTCTTCATTGCTGCTCGGATCTCTGCCAAAGAAACATCATCGTCAGTTTCCGACCTAATGTCAATAGATCTGAAAGATTGGGAACCATCCTCTGCATCGTCGCTAGAGCTGCTACCCTTGTCCGAGTCCGTCAAATTGCCGCCACCACTCCTATAGCTGCACCTTCGCTTGGCGCAGTCGCAAGTCTTCGTTGCAGCCTCGCTTGCATCTGTGCTGTCATCATCCTCCGAGAACGCACTCAAGCTGTCGACCGCCATATCCTCATCCGTCGCATCTTTGCTGTCTGCAACCTCCTCGACCGCATCAATGAGCGGGACATTTGCAGCGTTGCCCACAATGCTATACACAGTACGCCGTAGATCCTGTAAGCTCTGTTGCGCAGCATCTTCCCTCGACATTAGAAAGCGCACGGGTTTACCCTCGGACCTCGTCGGATTTCGGGTCACATGCAATTCCAAAGAATTACCTCTTTGCGTCGTCAGGACCATTCTTGTCAACTTTGCCCTTCCTACTGGCATCCGGACAGTTGCCGATGCTGGGACGGCATCTTCGACTGGCAATTCCGCGACCAAAACCCGGTCGTACCAGTCCTGGGATGGGCCTTGCATATTGTTACCCCTGCCATCCATGACATGTTTCTCGTTCATAACCCCTCCGCAGGTTCTCTCCTGCACCGGCTGTAATCTCGTGCGATGGGGTGCCGAAGTCTTGCTACTCGAAAAAGCCGGCCTGCCCTTCACTGCGCTCCTGGCTTTGCGCGCAATCGTCGACCTTGATGAATAGTTGCTGCCCCTGACCTCCCGCTTTTGGCTATACCTCTCTCGACATGCCTGCAATGCCTCGATGATTTCCTCTGTCGGCTGGGATGCAAAACAGTGAAAAACATAAACGAACAGAGGAGATCACAATAGTTAGTCCTGCTACCTTCTTGCCTCAAACGCATCAGTCATCGTTCGGTCATTATACCTGTACCTGGGGAAAATTTCAGACCAGATACCGATACAATGACTGGGCCGTTTGTTCGGGGGGGAAGAAGGTAGCATACTGTCCCAAAGGGATGCAATCGGATTGGAAAAGGAACTTTCTTTTTTTTTTCCCCAAGGAAAGGAAGCTAGGTTGCCCTTTGAGACACAACAGATGATGGTGCACAAGCAACAATGGAGAAACAGCAACTATGTAACTGTTTGAACGCCATGAACGTGCGTTCGCGTTCAAATTCGCGTTTGAACGCCATGAATTCGCTCTCAATTTTGAACGGCGTTCAATTTTTTTTTTTTTTTTTTAAAAGAGTCCATCTCTCTCTCTCTCTCTCTCTCTCTCTCTCTCTCTCTCTCTCTCTCTCTCTCTCTCTCTCTCCATTCGGAAACTCGGGTCCTTTTTCTGCATGCCGCCGTCCGTGGTGTCTAAGTTTTTTTTTTTTAACGAACCGCGGAGTTGAACTCCGCATTCAGTCGCGTGCATTCTGTTCAAAAATTGAACGGAAAAGCCGCATTCAATGAACGCGCGGTTTCATAGAACAGCGAAGATCCCAGACAAAAGGTAGATAGTAAGACGAGGCCACTCTAAAGAGCTACGCAGCATTCAGCAGCTGATAGTGCACATCAACTGGAGACTTCAGCCATGAATGGCTGGATGGACGAATAGATGAATGATTGGGTCTAGGTACACACACACACACACACACAGAGAGAGAGAGAGAGAGAGAGAGAGAGAGAGAGAGAGAGAGAGAGAGAGAGAGAGAACACACACACACACACACACACACACACAGAGTCCAAATATGTCCAAACTGAATACATGATATAGTAGATATACCCTAAAGCACATACGTATCACACAAAAAACGAAAAAAAAAAAAGAAAAAAAAAAGCAAAGAATCAAGGGAAAATGGAAGTTTTGCCGAAACTGTTTCGGTGAAAAATTCAGCGAAAATGACACCACCTATTAACCATGTGTGGTATCTTGACGGACGCTGACAATCCGATCCCGCTCCTCACCCAGCATACAGAAAACATATTCAGATGATTTTCTGTAATTTTCTACTGCTACGCCGTTTGTATTGACTGGAAGGGAAACTGGCTATCACATTCACATGCCGGCAAACATTTCATGAAAATTGTTCGCTGCTTTTATTACAATAAACAGACCTTGCTCCGGCCCGTTTTCATTGCTCCAGTCCGTGAACCTGACAAAACGCAGTTTGAGGAGATTTCAAAAAGCCTCTAATTTTTAAACACACATTTACAGTCGCACCCCCACCAAACTCTCCATCAAATCTGAATTACCTGGGCACCACATTCAATCGCCAGCTCGAAGAGCCTCACAACAACTTCATGGCGGTCCTCTGTCTCTGCAACACTTATCTGATCAAGCCAATGTGCTGCCGACTGGAGGTTACTCCGCTGCACACAATAATGCAGAAAAAGGCGTGAGACAGACAGCTTACAGACAAAAAAGGCTTACAGACAGCAGCAAAGGTGACAGACAGCTTACAGACAAAAAAGGCTAA